CAGCAGGCCAGGCAGCATCAGAGGAGCAGGAAAGTTGACGTTTCGGGCCTGGACCCTTTTTCAGAAGAAGAGTCTAGACCCAAAATGCCAGCTTTCCTGCTCCTCTGATGCTGCCTGGCCTGCTGTGTTCATCCAGCTCTACACCTTTTTTATCCTTTTACTATAGTTGCTTGAAAGATTATTATCAATTGTAAAATATTGCTGGAATCAAGAAATGGATGTTCTGCTTTGTTAAAATGTGAATATGTGTCAGTCTCCATTCCTTTCTTTTTCAGGATTCAGCTTTTATATTGCACATGAGTTTTTTGATGTACTTCCAATACACAAGTTTCAGGTAAAACATCAAATTTGGCATGCTACTGATAATACTGACCTGTTTCTGTTTCACACCTTCGTTTCCTCACTTCATTTCTTTGATCAAGAAATAGCCTTCTTCACCTAAGGGGTGTAAATGGAGTCATTCAGGATGATACATTTGATAGAAATTTTCCATTGATCCTCAGAGCTTCAAAGCAACTGAAAACTTTTTTTTAAACAAACCAAGAAAAATTATTGTGAGACTCAAATATGTTTTGGCATGCTGAAGTACTTTTTTTAAACTGAAGTCATCGATATGCTTAGTATCCAAGAATTACAACATTTGCATCAAACTTGTTTGTCTATGTAAATGAACTTGCAAATGATACACGCAATTTTGGTCTTGACATCAGCTGATATTGTGCCGTTTTAAAGGAAACTAGCTAAAATAGCAGCATGACTGCATTTTCGACTACCACTAAAATCTTGTATTTCTGAAACTCTGGTCTGAAGTTTATTGCAGAAAATGGCAGTGGAGGTACAGAACTTCAAGTCAACCTGAACTATTTCTGCATCAAGCAGAATTGGGATGTTTTCTGATTTGCACATAGAATCCCTACAGTGTGGAAACAGGCCATTCACACCACCCCTCCGAAGAACATCCCACCCAGACCCATTTCCCCTAATCTAACCCACCTTATCTAAACATCCCTGGGCACTGTGGGCAATTTAGCAAGGCCAATCCACCTACCCTGCACATCTTTGTCTGTGGGAGGAAACCAGAGCACCCGGAGGAAACCCATGCAGACACAGGGAGAATGTGCAAACTCCACACAGACAGTCGCCTGAGGCTGGAATCGAACCCAGGTCCCTGGTGCTGTGAGGCAGAAGTGCTAACCACTGAGCCACCGTGCTGCCTCAAACAGTCCTATGGTTCGTGGAGACACTGCCCACATACCTGACTTAGAGCTGATTTTCACTAGTGGAGCATCCAATATGCAACTTTAGATCTGCTAGGAGAAGGTCAAACTGCTGTTACTCTTTGAAAGGCTAGGATATGCTTTTGGAGAGATAAGGTATTCTTTCAATATGGAACCTGTGGGAGAGGGAAGGTGCCTTTGGGATTGTTAGAAGTGGACGTGACTGTGTTCAAAGTAGTACAGAAACTCTTTGACTGTGTCAAGAAAGTTAGCAAGTGAAGATAGGAAGAAGAGTAGCCCATTCAGCCCAACGGGCCCACTCTGCCATTCTAGAAAATGATTGATCATCTCCTAAACACTGTTCTCATCAAGGTGAGGTCTGATCAAGCTGCTATACAATTGCAACAAGTTATCTTAACTTCTGCACTCCAATTCCCCTGAAATGAATGCCTTTCTAATTGTTTGCTGCACATGCATGCTATTTTTTAACTCCATGAGAATCCTCAGATCGTTTTTGGATACCTGCACTTGCCAACCATTTAAGAATTACTTTTTCTACTAAAGTGAACAACTTCATATTTATATTGTATCCTGCTACCATGTTCTAGCTTATTTATTTAGCCTGCCCAACTCCCTATAAAGCCTTGCACATGTCTCACAAGTTATCTACTTTTAGATAAAGTCCACGCATATACATTCTGATTAGTTTTATTTCAATCAACCGCATACTATAAAACCCAGCCACCTTCAGGATGACCCTGTTTTTATATACATTTGAATAATCTTTTTGGGGCAAAGTAACAAAAACTGCATTGAAACAAAGTGTAAAAAAGAAAAGGAACTAAACAAAATAACCAAAACAGCCTGTAGGCTGTGTAGTTGAGCACTCCTTTTGCAAAACTGTTTGCAGGGGAATTGAGTGAGTAAACAATACTGTCACCATTTGGGAAACCTCTGTTTCTTGCACCCCTCCGATAATGGAGACTGATGAGTGGTGAATAGTGAAAACCTTGCCTCTGAATAGACTCAAACCACTACCCTTTTATTTAATAAAACACTGCTTTTGATATAATACATTATACCTTTTCTTCAGAAGGTTAAGTTCTGACAAAATTCAGTAGTGTTAATTTACTTAGCATACAATAAAATATGAGCTGTACATTTTTAAAACTGAGCCATTATGCTTTTCAAATGCACAAATTTTCACCGCTTACAGAAAACAAAGCACGGCTGGCGTGAAATATTGATTGACATTGAACCCAACTCCACTGGAAAACTTCGGTTTGTTCTAGCACCTCATGCCACTTTGGCTTCCAAAACATTAATTCAGGTGAGATATTTTTTAAGAAGTTGCACCTGCGTGCATTGTGTTTGTTCACTTTTTAACAATCCAATTCAGTGAATTACTTCAAAACCCTCCTGCAAAAAGAAGTTTTGTGTCAAATGTACATTAAAGCTACAGCAGAAAAGTGGGAAAATCCCAGTAAGAATTCATGGTAGAAATGCCCAGTCTAAAAACAATTGAAATGAAAAGCACCTGTACAGTTTTTTTAAATTGCATTTGTTGTAGAAAGAAGCAAAAAGGACAAGACAGGAAGCTGAATAATATCTCTGTTGGAAGTCTATCCCTAGTCTGTTGGAAGTCGGTTGGAAGTTCTGAGGAAGGGTCACCAGACCCGAAACGTTAACTCTGTTTTCTCCTTCACAGATGCTGCCAGACCTGCTGAGCTTTTCCAGCAACTTTGTTTTTGTTCCTAATATCTCTGTTGGGTTAGCTTGTTTTTTCATATCATACTGTGATGTGTCACTGCAATGGGCAAATATACCATACCACAAAGGGTGGTGATCATAGATTCTCCCCTATAATTTCATTTTATGTCTTTCAGATTTGGATTAGTCATAGGGTTAAGCAGCTCAGCAAAGGCAAAACCCTCCAGTGAGAGTGAGCTTGAATTGCTTCTGGAGGCATATGGAGGTGCTGGAGTGGATGACTATGAAATTAAAATTGTATGTAAATAATTGAACAACTTCAGAGCTGCACTTAGAATATTGACTATTGTGGGATCATGTATTTCTTTTAAAAGTTCTGTGATTGCTGTAATCTATTGAAGGTGGTTTGTATAACTTCTGATATGTATGTTAAAAGATAGAAAAGCTCTAATGAAACCTTTCTATCGCAGGTATAAAAGTAGAAAGTTTTAGCTAAACTCAGCAGACCTGGTAGCATCTGTGGAAAGAGAAACAGAATTAATATTTTGAATGAAATGTTTCTTCATTGTCTCTACAGTCCTGTCATGGAGAAGATCGAATGGGCATTTGCTTCTCAGATTTAGTGAAGTCATTGTACATATTCACCAGTTTCTGACAAAATGTCTGGGGAGGCATTTATCACCAGACTATTAATCCAGAGACTCAGCTAATATTCTGGGGATCTGGGTTTGAATTATGTCACAGCATTTGGTGGAATTTGAATTCAATGAAAAATGTCTTGAATTAAGAATCTACTAATGACTATGAAACCATTGCCGATTGTCAGAAAAAAACCATCTTCTTCACTAATGTCCTTCAGGGTAGGAAATCAGCCGTCCTGAACTAGCTACATGTGACCCCAGACTCGCGGCAATGTGGTTGACTCTCAACTGCCCTCTGAAATGGCCTAGCAAGCCATTTCAGTTCAAGGGCACTAGGGATAGGCAATAAATTCTAGCCAGTCCATGATGCCCATATCCCACATGTGAATAAAATATGTGTGTAAGGGAAAAGGTTACTTCAATACGTCAGGCAATACGCATCATTATTTTATTGGTACCTGTTCAGAAATTTTAAAAACCTGTTTCGGAAGCTGAAATATGCCACTTCTACTCAGTGTTTCTTCTTTGGTCCTATAGTAGAAGTCTTTAATTTTCTTTCCAAGCAGAGAGATGATGAAAGAGACCATATAGAGATATGTCCTGAGGCTGGTATCATTGTTCAGAATCTGGCCAGCCGAATCACTGAAGATGGGGGAGCAGCACTAATAGCAGATTATGGCCATAATGGAACAAAAACTGACACATTTAGAGTAAGTTCAATTAAACATATTCTTAACAAACCTGCAGTGTTCATCAATCTCCTGTCGAACTACTGATACCCAGATATCTGCAACGGAGCAGCAATTCATTTTCTTTACAGGTTTGTATCATATCGTTATTAAATATGGATTTTTGTACTATGAGTTTCATACTCTGTATTCTATAGAATTTAAATAAAAATGGAGAATGTGATAGATTTATGCTTAAAATTGAGTCACCAGCCGTTTGATTTAAATCAGACTCCTGACTGCACTGTGGAAAACCAAGTTAGGTTTTATAATAATGTATCTTAACTCTCCAAATGACATACATCAAACTGTGCTACTCAGTACGAATGCTAACAGGTGCATGGTTTGTTTGGGTGGCGTTTCCTGATGTTCAGGTCTCTGTGCCCCCATGACCTCAGCTAGCCATAGAGAGATTAACATGGACCCCAATGTGACTAAACATGGAACAGTATAGTATAGAAACACAGAGAATAGGTGCAGGAATAGTCCTTTCAGCCCTTCGAGCTTGCACCACCCTGGCTGATCATGCAATCTCAGTATCCCATTCCTGCTTTCTCTTCCAAACCACTTGATCCCTTTAGCCGCAAGGGCCACCGCCAGCTCCCTTTTGAATATATCCTGAATGGCTTACCCTTTATTCTTAGACTGTGACCTTCTGGACTTCCCCAACATTGGGAACATTCTTCCCGCATCTAGCCTGCCCAGTGTCACCAGGATTTTATATGTTTCTATGACATTCCACCACCCACACACCCCGTGCCACCCCCGCCAAAAAAAAAATCTGGATATTAACTTGTCCCATCAGGTAAATAAATGTTTTTCAAAATACAGTACTCCCTTGGGCTAACTACGATGTTTTCAATGGACATTTCATAAATTAAATCTTCTCATAGCAGTAGGTTTGTTTGTATTTTCATTTGGAGACGCTTGATGTACTTTTGCTACTGAAGAGATTCACTACTATCACTGAGAGGACAGCGATTCTGTATTCACCGCCAAAAGGAATTAGTCCTTATTATTTTCCAAAATTATTTAAAAATTTGCATTTTAATTAAACCCACTATGGTGATAAATGGTTTTAAGTCTTCCAGGTTTATGTAGTAGTAAACAGTTTCTGTGTGATTCTGAAAGGTTTCTTGGCATTTCAGTATTTTGATTTGGTGAATCACAAATATTAATTTCGAGAGATCCCTTTGAAATTTCATGTTGACCTTTTTGAGTATTTACTGGCAATATCAGTGCAATGTGACATTACTGTTTCTCTACACAGTTTCTGATACACTGCTGATCTAATGCCATGTTACATTTCGAAGTGTCAGGTTGAATGGATTTGTTGAAATGAGGCAAGTACAGAATCATACAGAGTCATTGAAGTATTGATTTGCTGTATCCCATCTTGGAAGCACAATAAACAGAAAGACATTACGGATTTTATATTTTCACAGAAGTCTCAGCTAAACAAAAATATCAATTTACAGAATAGTGTAAGATATTAATAATTCCTTCTATTGCCGTCCCATTTTTCTTGATCATTTTCTTCTATTCTCTAATTGTCAATTTTTTTTTTGGAGAGGCCAGTCTTTTTAAGCAAAATTTAACAGTAGCAGTGTTGACATTCAGCAGTTTACAGGACTTGTGAAAGGACTGAGCACAATGGTTGCTTACAGCTCATTGGTTTTAAAAGGTGTGCCATTCACATGATTTCCTTTACAAAAATAATTCAATCCCAGTTAATTGAATTCCATCAAAAACACTTTTCATCATTTGAGTGCATATTGTCTTTTTATTTTCTGAATTATAAATGACTGAATCAACTTTTTCATGTGGTTGCTTCTATAAATAATCACTCAAGTACAGATAGATAAAAGCCCAAGATTTACTCTTGACTTAAAAAAGTAACCTCAGAAGATAATATTATCCATATATTTCTGTACCACTATGATTTGTTCTATCTAAAACATTTAGGAGCAGAATCTTCTGTGTGTTTTTAACAACCTTGTCTTAATGTTTTTATGCTTAATAACCATTATTTGTAAAGGGTTTTCGTGGACATCAGCTACATGATGTGCTCACAGCACCTGGAACTGCAGACCTGACTGCAGATGTTGATTTCAGCTACCTTCGGCAAATGACAAAGGGTAAAGTGACCTCACTAGGACCAATTCCACAGCATGAGTTTTTGAAGAATATGGGCATTGATGTGAGACTTCAGGTATGACGTTACCAGCAGCAGTATAATTTTCTGTTTCTCTGTCTTCATGTTAGTCTGTTCCTGTCTTTGATCTGGTTTAAAGCCCTAAACCAAATGATTTTCTCCTGAGCTGTCATTGTCAATTTAAATGGTTGAATTTTCAAATTGAGGTCCTGGACTCTGAGAGGATCCAAAGTGTTCTCATACTCATGCAATTTCCTTTTGGTCTTTTCTGACTTACTAAGACAATACTGTGTAGCTTTATATAAAAAATGTTTTTTCCAACAAAAGCACAGATTTATTTGGAGAGCTGAAGGGGCATAACAGATATTTTCAACAAGTGATTTGAATTCAGAGATCACTTCCCAAGATGTACAGTATTATTAATGATAATCATATCTTTTCCTGACCTTATGCTATGTAAATTAGTTTCTGTTTCATAAACCTGAACCATTACTGCAGTCAAAATTGATTGCATTTTGCAGTAACTTGGGAATGAAATTTCTATATTAAGAAATGACTGCTTTTTGTCCTACTTCAGTTTTTCCTCTTTTTCTGAAATTTCTAGATCATCTCAATTAGTGCAGTTTCACGGTTTCCTTATCAGAATTTCTCAGCAGTGGGGTTTAGGCAATGACAGATAACAAGGTAACGGAAAAAGACTAGGGGATAACAGCCCTGCAAGTCCTAATTTCATCCAACGGTCATCTAAGCAAACTTTCCAGCAGGTGTATTTTCAGCATCAAGAACCTAATTGATATTCTATAACGTGGAGAGACAGCAGTGAACTTTAACAAGTATCACTGTTGAGCTTATTCAGCACAAAAATTCATCCAACTTGAAACTTTGTTCTGTAAGGCTCTGTTATATTCAATAAGGTGGTTACCTCTGTATGGTGGCTAATTCTACTTCTGGATGGCATATTGTTTTACAACCCTGTGTTGTGAATCTTAATCAAAGTCAGCCTTTTGAGTTTTTTTTCTATTTATAAACAGTTATTTTAATCAAAATTACAGTAGAGTATTCCCTCCTAGAATAGCTTTCTAGTCTTCTGCACTAACATTTTTTAAAAAATTTCTTCCTAATGCATGCTTGTCTAATTCCTTTATTCATTTGAATCATAGAATCCCCACAGTGTGGGGACAGGCCATTCGTTCCAACAAGTCCACACCGACCCTCTGAACAGCATCCCACGCAGACCCTATCTCTGTAACCTTACATTTCCCATGTAAAATGCACCTAGCCTACACATCTCTGAACACTATAGGCAATTTAGCATGGCCAAACCACCTAACTTGCACATTCTGGACTGTGGGAGGAAACTGATGCAGACACGGGGAGAACTTGCAAACTCCACACAGACAGTTGCCCAAGATTGGATTCGAACCCTGAAGCTGTGAGGTAGCAGTGCTAACCGCCGAGCTATTGTGCCACCCATGCCAATTTCTTGATCTCAAGGAAGGTGCTCTTCAGGACTGCTCCGTGAGAAAACATGGTTAGAGAAAAAGTAGCTGGTTTTCAAATTCCATCTTTTGTTAGATGGAGTCATAGAATTATGCAGCACGGAAACAAACCTTTCAGTCCCAATCACCTGCACCAATCAAATATCCTAAACTGATCTAGTCCCATTTACCAGCACTTGACCCGTATGCCTCTCAACCCTTCCTATTCATGTACCCATCGAGACACGTTTTTAATTGTTGTAATTGTACTCATCTCTACCATCTTCTTTGGCAGCTCATTCCATACACACCCCATCCTCTATGTGAAAACGTTGCCCCTCAGGACCTTTTTTAAATCTTTACCCTTTCACCTTACACCTATGCCCTCTAGCTTTGGACTCCTCTGCCCTGGGAGAAGGGCCTTGGTTATTCACCCTATCCATGCCCCTCATGATTTTATAAATTTCTATATGGCCACCCCTCAGCTTCTGATGCTCCAGGAAAAAAAAGCCCTAGCCTATTCTGCCTCTCCTTATAACTCAAATCCTCCATTCCCAGTAACATCCTTGTAAATCGTTTCCAAAACCTTTCCAAGTTTATCGGTGCCTTTCCTATAGCAAGGAGACCAGAATTGAACGCAGTATTCTAAAAGTAGCTTCATCAATGTCCTGTACAGCAGCAACATGAGGTCCCAACTCCTATACTTAATGCACTGACCAATGAAGGCAAGTATGCCAAACATCGCCTTCACCACCCTGTCTACCTGTGACTCTACTTTCAAGAAACTATGTATCTGCACCCTGCATGCCTATGTCGCTTGTCTGGCAACTCTCTCCAGGGCTTTACCATCAACTGTATAAGGCCTGCCCTAGTTTGCCTTATCATAGTGCAAAACCTCTCTTTTATCTAAATTAAACTCATCTGCCACTCTTTAGCCCATTGACCCAATTGTTCAAGATCTCTTTGTAGTCTTAGATAATGTTCTTCACTGTCCACTGTACCACCAATTTTGATGTCATCCACAAACTTACTAATTATACCTTCTATATTCTTATCTAAATTATTTATATATATGACAAACAAAACTGGACCCAGCCCCAATCCCTGTGGAACACTGCTGGTCACAGGTCTCCAGTCCAAAAAACAACCCTCTACCACCACTGTCTCCTGTTGTAAAGCCAATTTTGTATCCAGTTGGCAAGGTCCACCCTGAATCCCATGTGATCTAACTTTACTAATTAGTCTGTTATAAGCAACGTTGTCAAAGGCTTTACTAAAGTCCAAGTAAACAATGTCTACCATTCTGCCCTCATCACCCTTTTTGGTTACTTCCTCAAAAGACTCAATCAAGTTTGAGAGAGACAATTTCCCTCTCTCAAAACCATGTTGACTATCCTTAATCAATCCTTGCCTCTGCAAATGCATGTAAATCCCATCTTGAAGCTGTTTCCCTCTCTAGGCTGGAGAGCTCCAACTAGTGGCAGTGGTTAGTCACTGCTTGAACTCTGCAGCTCCTTGCACTGACTAATATCTGCCACTAGATGGAGCATGATTTAAGGGGTGAGATTTTTCTTAAAATATTGCAGATTCTGGAAATCTGAAACAAACCTGGAGAATGCTGGAGAAACTCAGTATGTCAGGCAGCATCTGTGGAGAGAGAAATGAAATTAACATTTAGAGTTTGTAATGACTTCTTAAGAGTACTCTTAAGAGTAATACTGGTAAAGTGGCAAGCATTCACGTGCATCAAGTCCAGTACGATTAAAAAGAGCTGACATGATGCTGGCTACTAGTTACATTTAATAATACAATAGTGCAATTCAATTTTCAGAAAACTACTGAGCCCATTGAAACAAAATATTTAAAGTTTTAGTATAGGTTCATCTCTTCAGATAAACTGAGGCCAGATCTCAAGGTATTTCTTACAACAGTATTCATTAACGGGAGTCAGTTAGTTGGATGGCTGGTTTGCAATGCAGAGTGATGCCATCAGAGTGAGTTCAATTCCTGTAATGTCTGAGGTTACCATGAAGGATTTTCCTTCTCAACCTTTCCTCTCACCTGAGGTTTGGTGGCCTGCAGGTTAAACCACCGCCATTCATTTCTGTCCAATGAGAGAGCAGCCTTATGGTCTGGTAGGACTATGGCCACTTGATTTACTAATATAGACATGATAATATGGCAGCAGGCATCTCTGCATGGATTCTACACTTGTCACAGTTCATCGCAGCTTAACTCCGACGTTCATCTACAGATTCATTTAAACCCCATCTCTAGACTTGGGATTTGGCTTATCTTACTAGCATGGCATTCTGTAGCCTCTAGACATTAGAGAAGTGTTTATACATATAAATCTCATCATTCCTGTCTACTCGAGTGAAATATGTCCACAAATGTAGCAGCTATGTTCACTCTAACCTACAAACAGCAAGGGAATCAGTGACCAGTTAATTTGTTTTGGTGATTGAGGACAGCACTTTGGCTAGGACACATGGAAAACTTTTTGCACTGCTTCAAATGTTGCCATTGGATCTTTAACAGATACTTGTACAAGCAGATGCCCTGGTTTGAATTTCTTACTCAAAGGATATCACCTCCAGCAACGCAGCATTCCTTTATTATTCCATGAAGTATCAAAACCAGAAATGAGGCATTTTGACTACATAGTGATTTTATAATAAAGTAGCCCTTGTTGATTGACTGAGATGGCCTGACGGGATGAAAGGTGCTAGATCAATCAATTTCTTTCTTTCAAAACTTCAATACTTCCCAACTATAAGTTTCTTATTATAGTCATTTTTCTGTATACAAGAAAAATATTACATAGGATAGAAGTTGTGGGTGGCGGAGTTCAGAACTGGGGGTCATATTTTTAAGGTGAGAGGAGAAAGATTTAAAAAGGACACAAGGGGCCCTATGGAATGGGTCATGTGTGGAATGAACGTCCAGATCAGATGCAGGTACAGTTCCAACACTTAAAAGACATTTAAATAAGTACACGAATAGGAAAGATTTGGAGGGATATAGGCCAAGTGCAGGCATGTGGGACTAGTTTAGTTTGGGAACATGGTTAGCGTGGACTGAAGGATCTGTTTCCATGCTGTATGACTCTGTACTTATCATCCCATCAAAACAAAATACTTCATAGTTTGTCACCAGCCATTCTATTCTCCTTCCAGGTACTGCTCAGGAATGCATCTGACCCAGCCACACACACAGATTTAATTGATTCCTATGATATGATAATGAATCCTGAGAAAATGGGGAATCGATTCAAGTTTTTTGCTTTGTTGCCTTGTAATAGATTAATTTCAAGCCAAGATACAAAGGGCATGAAACGTGGTCCAATGGCATCACCTGTTGCAGGATTCAGTGAACTGCAGTTGTAAAGAAAGACATTAGTATCACCTTGCTGGAAAGAAAAGTATCAGATTTTGGCTTGGTATCATTATTTGTAACATCAAAAACAGACACAATTTGTACATATGCCTGTGGAAAAGCACAACTTAACAACTAGAGAATGAAAGGGAAACTACTTCATACTATGTAAATTCAAGACTCAAGCTTCATAAATTAAATTATTTTCCAATAATGGTGCTGTTCGTGTTTTTAATATTACAAATTGTAGCTGTTGTTCAAATAAACTAGTTAAATTGCAAGTGTACATTCTACAGACGATACACACTGCAGCTGTCAAATCCAATGGTTCAAGGAGTGTACACCGGCAGATTCTGTGGAATAATTGTATATCAAGACTGTTTAATTTAGGTTGAGTAGTAATGAGCAAAAATAGTACATGACTAGGAGCACTAAGTAGAGAAACTTTAGCTTTATGAAACAGTGCATATTGCTGTAACTACACCCTGCTTTTACTAGTCTGAGAAGTCACGTAGGATAGATAGCAAAAAGCTAGAGCTTGCAGCATCTGTACACTCTTTATCTTCGAGACAACAAGGTGCAGGGCTGGATGAACACAGCAGGCCAAGCAGCATCATAGGAGCAGAGAGGCTGACGTTTCGGGCCTAGACCCTTCATCAGAAAAGGGGGAGGGGAAGGGGGTTCCGAAATAAATAGGGAGAGAGTGGGAGGCGGATAGAAGAGGGATAGAGGAGAGGATAGGTGGAGAGGAAACAAACAGGTCGAAGAGGCGGGGATGGAGCCAGTAAAGGTGAGTGTAGGAAGGGGATAGGTCAGTCCAGGGAGGACGGACAGGTCAAGGGGGCGGGATGAGGTTGGTCGGTAGGAGATGGAGGTGCGGCTTGAGGTGGGAGGAGGGGATAGGTGGGAGGAAGAACAGGTTAGGGAGGCGGGGACGAGCTGGACTGGTTTTGGGATGCGGTAGGGGGAGGGGAGATTTTGAAACTTGTGAAATCCACATTGATACCATTGGGCTGCAGGGTTCCCAAGTGGAATATGAGTTGCTGTTCCTGCCCACCGAAGAGGTACCTCTTGAGGCCTTGGGGATTGTACTGATCAATGTCCTTTCGGCTCATTCGGGCTGTTTTAGGATACTATCTGGGAAGTGGTAAGTGACGTTCTGTCAATTTCAGTCACCTCCCTCGGTAGACTTGTTTTTTCCTCTCGTCCTGCAGGCTGTCCCTTTCTCCCTATGGGCACTGCATAAAACTCATGTTGGCCTGGTCTCCTCGGCCCTGCCACATCAGGTGAATGTTAAGGCCAGGGCTGCCCTACCCTCTATTAAACAGTACCGTTTGTCAAAGGAGGCAGAGGAGACAATAAGGCCGGTCATCGAGGCATTACTCGCTCAAGGCGTTTTGTGCCCTACCCATAGCCCCCGCAACACTCCCAAACTGCCCATTCCAAAACCTGGACAAAAGAAGTTACCCTCCTCCCTCCGGACAAACCTCAGGGGATCTCTCTCCCACTGCAACTCTCTTGTCTTTACTGGCTCCATCCCCGCCTCTTTGACCTGTCTGTTTCCTCTCCACCTATCTTCTCCTCTATCCATCTTCTATCCGTCTCCCCCTCTCTCCCTTTTTATTTCAGAACCCCCTTTCCCTCCCCCATTTCTGATGAAGGGTCTAGGCCCGAAACGTCAGCCTTTCTGCTCCTATGATGCTGCTTGGCCTGCTGTGTTCATCCAGCCCTGCACCTTGTTGTCTCGGATTCTCCAGCATCTGCAGTTCCTACTGTCTCTGACTCTTTATCTTCATCGGCTTTAATTAATGTATGACTGGTTGCCTAAGTAATGACCTTGCCTTGCTGGACCTAAGTACAATTGCAGTTTGTTTAACTTGTTTGTACCGCTGTATAAATTCTGCTTATTTTTTATGCTTATCGGAGTCTTCGGAACCTGACCTTTTGTCAGTGTTGACTCTCCGTGATATCACGAATAAAATCTCTCTGCCTCGAAGTCTGGACCTATGGTGTGTAATTAATTTAGTCTCTTCGACAATCTGGAGTAGTCGGTAGGTTGCCTTTATGTATATACTTAATGTGTGTATATATACAGGATCCAAACAAATTGATAAAAAGGGAAGTGAGAGAGGGATTCAAGTTTCCCCGGCCGGTGACCCACATTGAGCTACCCTGATCCGATCTCGGGGAGACCGGAGAGACGGGACGGGCAAGACTACGTGTGCAAGACAGAAACTCGTTGAGAAATCCTCAAGTTTATTTTACATAAACTATTAAGACAAAAGAGAGTCAAGGAGACTGAGGACTGAGGTATAAAGAGATTCGGGGTTGGGAAAGGGTGAATTAGAACATAGGAAAACGTAGAGTTAAGATATGCAACTATAAAGTATTAACGTTCATTTGATTTCAGAGTTTGATCCTTTGCTAAGTGGGAATTGATAAAACGATGGGCAGTGGAACAGGAAAGGAAACCAAGAGGCCCGAGGAGAAAGAGTTCCCCGTGAAAATGAAAAAGAAAACCATAAAGAAG